CTATGCAGCCAAGTGCCTAGATTGAGGGCAGCATCGTTCATATCCAATCTCCTACGACCGGACACTAGCCCACAATGCTCTCTACCGCTCGCAAAGCGGCTCCTCCACTCCATTTTGAAACCCGATCATTATCCGCTGTTTGCTTCAAGGAATCGGCAATGGCCGCAAGAGTCGACGTCTCTTTGCCCTTGACAGCCGGAATTTGACTCTGAATCCAGCTGAGAATACCCGCTCTCGTGACAAGTGTCGTGCTTCCTTGCACTTGCGTCGCGCGGTACACTAATTGCAAGATCTTCCTCTTGGCCGAGTAGCCTGCCGAAGGCGACTCGTAGAATGCAAGCGCTCTCTCGAAAACCTTCGCACGGCGGTAGATGTCCATATCCTATAATTGAATGAGTAACATGATGGTGTAAGGGAAGACGGCGACATACAGCTTCAGTGCGAAGACCCTTGATTAGTAAATCAAGAAGCCAGCTAGTCTCGTCGAAATAACCGTCGTCAAGCTCCGGTTCATGCAGTAGGATCTTGTCAATCCAGTAGGATGGAATCTTCTCCACCTCCCAGGAAGGAGCTTTCTGCAGGAACTTGTTGACCTTGCCGTACATTTTGTGCATCGGGTTCGTGAGAACAGTCAAGCAACTGGACGCGCACTCCCCTACAATCCACGGTACGGGCGATTCAAGCCCAATCTGCTTGACAGTCTCGAGAAGCTCTCCTGTGAGGATGTAGACTGATCGCCATTCCACATATTTAGACTCCTGCGAGTATGTTAGTTTATTTTTCTACTCTGTTTTCCGCAGAAGGTACCGGCTCAATGGTAGACCTACCTTAAGTTTGCCCATGAAACGAACGATGCTTGTGAATGCTTGCTTTCTCACTTCCTCGTATGACGAGCACAAGCAGAGAACCAGTTCGGCTATCCGGCCTTGCTCAACCGCCACCTCGATGTCATCCTTCTCCCATCGGTGCAGCTCATTGTGGGTGGTACTTTCTGTCGGTAAGGTTCCGAATACCTCCTCCAAGTCTACCTCATCCTGGTTGGCGGTAGCTGTAGTATCTTGGGCAGGAGTATCAACTTCCATCGCATGGTCATCTTCAGCATCTTCACTGTCTTTCAATGCTTTTTTGAGAGCCGACTTTGACTTCTTATTCTCAGCACTGTCCATCAGCTTGTCCCGGGCGGTCTTCAGTGCCTTGGCGTTTTCTCCAGCGCGCTTCAAGCTTCCTAGCGTCTCAGCAATCCAGGTAACCACCGCACTCTCGACAGCCGCGTCTCCAGATTTGACAACGAATGGCCACTGTTCGATGACAGCAGCTACCAGAGGGCTGACCGGGCTGGAGGCACCCTCGACCAAGGAGTCAACGAGGTCTTGATAGTGGACCGGTTTCTTTGCGATACGGCAGGCGCAGTTATCGAAGAACGATAGTTGACGCTGGAGCTTCTCCGAGTCTGAAGTTTCGAAGCTTGACAGGATTGCGGGAAAGGAGGAGGGGTTCTGTAGGACAGAGTGCTCGGTGAGGACGGTTCGCAGCAGCTGGTCAATCTCACGCAGAGAGTATCTTGATGCTGTTTGAACCAGCACCTTTAGGATTGACGTAAAAGCAGAATACTGCATAGACCCCGGTTGTTGCCACCAACGCATGGAAGTAGACTGTTGAATGATCCTCATGATGTTTTGCAGTTGGCTCAGCACTGACTCGGTATCATCCTCGTCGAGTTTTCCTTCATCCAATCGCTTCAGAACGTCAACCAAGATAAGTGAAACGTCAAGTCCTTCCTCGAAGGCGGCGTCCGGTACTACTTCATAGAACGAAGCGAGAAGCTCTGAGACAGCATCCTGCTGCTGCAAGTCATCCTTGTCCGTTCGCTTGAAAAGCAGAATGACTTCCTTCACTCCGGGGCACCGGCGACTGAATTCAGCAACCAGCTTGCTTGCCGCCTGTGTCCACAGGGGTTGGCTGACCCCATGGTCGGCGTTGAAGATCTTGAGAACAGCCCGCAGTTTGTTGAAAGCAATTGTCAAAATTCGGACAGCAAACAATGTTACTATCTCAGCATTCATATTCAGGCAGCGGGTAAGGATTTTCTGGGTCAGAGGGCGAGGAAGCACATTCTCAATAACCACAGAAACGGGCGGCGGTGTCGGAGGTAACTTGTCTTTCCAGCCACAATTTGAGGGCACGGGCAGCTGTACGGCGGAGAAGAGAAGCGCAGACTCGGCCATCCATGCTGGGGTCGGCTTTGGGTCCGCAGTGAACATGCTCTTCTTTGTGAAGAAATCGGCAACTAGCTCCGGGGCCGCCTTGAAGATGGCCACTAACAGCTCAATCTGGAGACTGTCGGTATCCGGGCGAAGTGTCTGGATCAGATAAGACAGTGTTCCGTTGCGAACAGGTACAGACTGGCTGTACTTGTCGATATGAAGAGCAGAATCAAGACCCAAATCGATCAGTGTGTCATCGTCCGTGGGTAGCGCCTCGGGATCACTTCCGTGCGGATACCAACCAGACTCTGGAAGCAAGACTCCAAGTTCGGTGTTCGTACAGACATTCATCAGGATCTTGTGGATTTCGTCGGTAGTGGAAACATTCGCCGGGTTGGGCTCCTCTGACTCACGATCATAGCCGTAGAGTGTGACAAGTCGCTCCAGGTTCCATCGATTGAAGAACTTGCTCTTTGCGATGCGAGAAATCGAAGCATCTTGGATAATGTCTTTGTCAATACACCTGATAGTCTCCAAAATGATATCTCTCGGGTCTTTCCTAATGTACTCAAAGAATGCTCTGATAACTTTGTGTTGCTCAATGATATCACTCTTCCCGTTTGATTGCAAGAATCGCAGGTTTGCAAGGACATACTTCTGAGCATTCCTGCGCAGTGTAGGTTTGGAGCCTGCCTCTGATATTTCTTCCAGCTGAGCTTTGTTAGGGGTAAGGAAGACTTCGATGCGCTTGAATGTGATATACCGCGCGGCATGGACGTGGCGCGCCACAGCTCCACCATCGAAGCTGACCATCTCCGTGAGAAGACGAAGACAGGGAGAAATCAAATGCTCCTTTGATTTGATAGCGGTCAAGCCACGATTGAACAGTCTCAGCTGTTCTTTCTGAAGGAGATACTTGCATAGTGCCACTCCGAAATCCCGAAATTCCAGGTTGGTGGACACCGTCTTGAGAAACTGAGCGAGGACAGAGGGCACAACAGTCAGTAACGACTCATTGTTGTTGGTATCCGCAAAGCTCCAGGTCTGGACCAGATCGGTAAAGCAGACTGCTTCGTTCTCATTCACCCGTGAGAATTGCGAATCACAGTATGCTTTGAGGATGCGGAACTTTTTGGCTTTTTCAGCCTCATCCTCACTCTGCCCAATGGACGTGAGGAAGTCCTTGAACTTTCTTATACCTGTTTTGATGAGTATTGGAGCATCATGGGTGACTTGGCTCAGGATGTTACTTACCTTGCTTGGATTCAGTGGGATTTTGTTGGAAAGCCAAGGAAGAGCGAAGCTGCGTGTGCGAAGTTATGGTGGCAGTAGCATCGACATCCTGGCCATTGTCCAACTTTCTCCTCTTGTTGCGGAGCTGACCCTCGTGGGAAGACATCCTGGGCTAATGCAGATGCTCGTGTTATGCAAAAGACCGGGGACTGGACCTCAACGAGGATTAGTAGTAGGCCGGCAGGAACTTCGCCCGATTCAGACCTTCAGAGTTTTGCGACTGCTGAATTGGTCTTTTATTAGTGCCACTACGGCGAACTTGACAGGACAAGATCGTCCAGCTAGCAAGCGTGTTCCTAGGAAATATGTAAATATATATTATAGAGCAAAGATGAACGTAAGTGGATGAAAATATTGCGATAAGAGGCTCGCCGGTAGACTTCTGGAAAGTCCTGCGCAGATGAATTGATCCACTGCCGTGAATGAATCTGGCCTCCCATTGGTCAGATCAAGTATGGTCCAGGCAGCACGGCGATTGAGATTAACACTTACAGGCGACTTACTAGTAGTAATAAAGACTAACAGTGTGCTTATCTTCCACGGTGAATGAGGGGCGAGGCTCTATCACTCCTGTTATAAGTCTCTGTCGTATTCCGATTTTTCCATCCATGACGATGTAACTAAAGTACCAAGCCAATTTTTCCATCTCTCTGTTATCATTTTTGACGCATTGTTATACTATGGGCTGAAAAAGCAATACATCAACCAGCTTCTATGGCTCAGTTGGTAGAGCGCATGACTAGTAATCATGAGGTCCGCGGTTCGAATCCGCGTGGAAGCATTTTTTGCTTTTTCGTTTTTGTCAATTTCGTCTACCCGAGTAGGCACAACCAACAATAATCTACCATTCATCCATCCACCTTTCTTATTTTTGAATAAGAGAAGAGGGAATAAATTAACTCTATGCTCGTTGCTTAGACTACAGCATGCTAGAACTCTCAAGGAAGCCAGTGCAGTTGGCAAACACACTCACTCATCACCAAACAAATCAAGGAACTTGTTGAACGTCTAAACTATATATATCCGGCACAGGCAACCCCTATCAACTTGCCCCGAACCAGGCACTCAATATCCCCAACCCAGTTTCAGTAGCACAGTTGAACCTACCAAACATCATGATTCCAACCCCCAACTCCGCGCCCATTGAAAGAATATGTAGATCATCACCCTCCCATGACTCAATCACTGTCCCAACATCAGTATCCACGGACATTTATGCGCCGACTTCCCAATTAGTACATACATTCTTGCTTTCTCAATATACTCACAACCCGGAAGTAGTTCCCAAACCGATTCGTTGCAGAAGTCTAAATTCAAGGACAACATTCTCACAGATCCCTCAGTCGGCAATGGCGCTTAGCTACCGTTTGAGTACCACGACCACTATACTACTATACCTCCTCCTCCCTCCCCTCCCCTAGACCCCGTAACTATAGTCCCCCAAACTAGACCTACCACCCTCAAACCAATACCAAAAAGCAAAACCGTCTATAGTATCATACAATGTCCCCACTCCCAACCCCAACCCCCACCCCCATCACCAAATCCTCCCTCATCGGCGCCTGGACTCTCATCTCCTACATCGTCGAGCCCCCGAACCCCCAAGACTATGACGCTCCCACCCACTACTACCCCATGGGCCCGGACGCCCGCGGCACCCTCGTCTACACCCCAGATGGTCAGATGACCGTGAGCGTGTTGCCGAAAGTTGCCAAGAAGGTGTGGGAGAATTCTAATGATGGGGTCATGTACGCGGGCCGGTACTGGATTGAAAACAGCAGTAGCGATGACGAGGATGATGATGCTGGTGATGGATATGAGAGGCAGTAGCAGCAGCACCGTCACGTCCCGGTTGTGCATCATGAGGTCGACATGGCGTCTTCGGTGGAGTTTGAGGGGTCGCAGAAGCGAGAGGCTGTGATTTCTCCCGAGGGGAGGTTGAGGTTGTCTGGGTTGAGGTTGTTGGAGGTGGGGATGGTAAGTTCTCTCTTTTTTTTCTCGTGTTTCTTTGGGGGTGATGTTTGTTGCTGATGGTGTTTGGGGTGGTGGTAGGAGCAAAAGATGAAGCCGGTGTTGGTGTGGGAGAGGATTAGTCGGGCCTGATGCTGATGATGTGGTGGGGGTAAGTTATGGGAGGTTATTGAATGAGTTGGTTGTTAGATGCTATATCAAACAACTTGGAAGCAACAATCAGTCTATTTGACACATTCACAAATATCTCATTAGAATACATCTCTAGCCAAGAGTGGAAAAGCGCGCCATCTGGCGTCGCGTCAAGATTCGTAAGGGGTATGTTTTAAACTACCATATATATGCCCGAAGAATGATTCGAAAAGGAAAAGAAAGATGCCAAACAAAGAGGAGTGGAATAGATAGCCATGGAAAATCTGAAGATCAACCCCAGGTACCTCCACCTCCGCCACGACCCTGCCGTCTCTGTGCGGATAGACGCCAATCGTCCTCACCGGCAAAGCGGTTGTGGAGAGGCTGGATCCGCTCGGCCTTCTTACGTTTCGACAGACGATCGGTGGGTGCCACCTTAAAGAAAGTCGGGGCGGCCTCAACGAGCCACTTCGGCTCGATGGAGGTTGTGCAGTGCATGTACTCCTTCGTTGTAAGAACCAGTGTATGGTAGATGACATGCTCGGACGGTTTGCCAAACAGTGCGGAACTGGGATGCATGTAGACCGGAGTGCCTTCGACAAGAGTCTTGTACCCTTCCTGAGGGTCCTTGCGAGCTGCATTTCGGAAGAATCCCGTACAAAGTGCCTGGCGTACTTTGAGGGTGTTCCTTCCGCAGGAGACGATCTTGTGGTGGTAGCGATCCATAATGCCAAGCAGCTGCTGACGGACGTCCTGCGCACGGCGGATCTGACGGGCTTGGATGAAGTTCTCGAAGCACCAGGCATTGTTAAAGTTGGAGTGTTTCCATCCATTGTAGACGTTGAGAAGAGTCAAGTGGTCGCCGTGGGGATCGTGGAACTTGGCCTTCTTCTGATCTGCCTGCTGCTGCTTCTCCTTGGGACGGTAAAAGACCGACTGGATGGAAAGCATGGCCACAATGCTCAGCATTTCCTCTGAGCATCCCATGTCGACCGATGCGATGAGAACCTTGGCGAGGGCCGGCTCCATGGGGAAGTCTGCCATCTTTCTACCCAAGCGAGTCAAGAGACCCTCGTCATCCAGAGCTGACAGTGCATACAGCTCCTCCAAAGCAGTAAGCATAGTGTTCGTTGGCGGAGGATCCATGAAGTCGAAGTGCAGCAAATCGTTGATGCCCATCGCCTTGAGCATGAGAATAGTATGCGAAAGGTTCTGGCGTTGAATTTCGGGAATTGTGGTTGGCAACATTTCCGACTGGTACGCGGCTTCAGTGTACAGCCGGAAACATTTTCCGGGTCCAGTTCTGCCTGCACGACCAGCACGTTGCTTGGCCTGCGCCTGCGAGATGGGCGTGACAACCAAAGAGTCCATACCCAGCTTAGGATCGTAAGCGTTCTGCTTGACGAAACCAGGATCGATGACGTAGTAGATATTGTCGATAGTGATAGACGTCTCAGCAATGTTCGTAGCGATGACAACCTTTCTACCTCCAGGCGGGGCAGGCTCAAAAATCCTACTCTGCATTTCACTCGGAAGAGCAGAGTAGACGGGAAGAATGACCAACTCCGGTACTGTTGACCCCAAAGCCTTCATCCGTTCGTATAGAATCTCGCAAGCAGTATCAATTTCCTCTTGACCTGTCAAGAAGAGCAGAATATCACCCGAGGGCTCTGTCAGGTGAATCTGCATAACTGTAATAAGAGCGGCATCAAGATAGTCGGACTCGGGCTCCTTCGAGTACATGATCTCGACAGGGAATGTACGACCGGGAATGGAGAAGATAGGGCAACCGTTGAAGTACTCAGAGAACTTCTCAGCATCCAGCGTAGCCGAAGTAACAATAAGTCTGAGGTCCGGTCTCCGCTTGATGGTCTTTTTGAGCAATCCAAAGAGAACATCAGTGGCAATGGTTCGTTCGTGAGCCTCGTCAAGCATGATGACAGAATACCTTTTCAAATCTGGGTCCAGGAGGACTTCTCTTTGAAGCATACCATCAGTCATGTACTTGATCTTGGTGTCAGGACTCGTGCAATCTTCGAAACGAATCGTGTATCCGACTTCCGCGCCGAGTTTACAGCCGACTTCTTCCGCCACACGTTTGGCAACAGACATGGCTGCTACACGACGAGGCTGCGTACAACCGATAATACCGTTGTTTGCATAACCTCCCTCGGCCAAGTACTGCGTCAGCTGCGTCGTCTTTCCGGACCCAGTATCTCCGACAACAATCAGCAGCTGGTTATCGCGTACAGCATCGAGAAGTTGCTTGCGGAACTTGTAGACCGGCAGACTTTCACGCTGCTGTTTGATGGACATGCTGGTCCGCTTTCCGAAGGACTGGTTCTTGCCCATGGTGACCCGTTTCCACTCGGGGACCGAGTCATCCGGCTTGGACTGCTGAGTACTGCGCAGATCAGCAGCAAACTTCCGCTCTTCAGGCGCAACCATAGGATCCTGCCACTGCGCGTTGAGGTCGACTGCCGCCGCTTGCTCAGCTGCTTTGTCCTGAGCTTCCTGTTGCCTGATGTCTCGTCGCTCCTTGGCCAGATTTGTTCCTGCCATAGCAGCCCGGTTCATAGAGCCATCGGGAGCCTTCACGACTCTGATCGGGGAGAGTTCCAGAGACATCTTAGTCTGACCAGCCAGGAAGGGCGGTTCCTCGTCCTTGACTTCAATGTCGACATCCTCCTCTTCCTCAAACGTGCCTTCACCCGTCAAGGTGGCATGGTATTCCTCATCGATGTCAGGATAGTCTGCTGCGGAGACAGCGCCAGATGCAATCAACTGCTTAATCTCCCACCTCTCAGGGGAGGTCATGCGCTTCCTATTCTTCATAGGCTTTCCATCCGACTCTTCAATAACCGGCACTTCCGAACTCAGGTTACCATATCTATCCTTGCCCGTCATGCCGTCAAGACGCTCCATATTTGCGCCAGATGCCAGACGTCGTTGAGGGATCAAATCGATACCAGTAACCTGATCCACCTCCTTCATTGACAACCCGATTCGAGAGCCTTGAATGCTAACCACCTTGACCTTGACCGGCTGGCCACGCGAAACCAAATCGGAAGGATGATTGACACGCGCTCCCTCTTGCATGGCCGAAACATGTACCAAGCCATCCACCTTGCCCTTCACACCAAGCAAGTTCACGAAAGCACCAAAGTCCTTCACTCCCGTAACACGACCATCGTAGACCTTGTATAGCACCGGTTGATCATCCAGCTCCACAGGCGGCGGCTTCCGAAAGTACTCGCCATCCTCATCACGATCCCGGCGACTCCTCCGCTCACTGTGTCCATTGCGATAATCATCCCTGCTGCTGTATTTGCTCTTCGACCGACCAAACTCATCGACCTCATCATCACCACCCCTCTTGCTATATCCAGGACTCTGCGATCGCGATCGAGACCGGTATCTATCATGGCGTCTGCGTCCACGTCGGTGATCATCGTAATCGGGGCTTCTGCTGCGCTTCCTAGTACTACCGCGGTCGTTCCGTGACGACGACGACTGCGGCGCCGGGGCAGGCTTATCCTGACGCGCTTTACCCGCCAATCCCTCCAGCATAGCAAATGTATCATCCATAGCATCAGCCTTCGCATCGCCCTCATCGACGTTCTCCTCATCCCACTGCTGAACCTTATCCGGCACAGCCAATCCCTTAAACACGCGCGCTTTCTTCTCCAACGCATCCAAAACATCCATGTCATCATCGCCGGCCGAGTTGTTCGTCGTTTCCGTCTTCTTCGACTTATACTTCGGATGCATCGTAAGCACCAGACGATCGATACTCTCCAGCAAACTCCGAGGAAACTCCGCGCCCATCTCCTCCATGCTCTTGCTGAAATCCGCGAATGAGCCACATTTTAGGTGCTGGTCGATCACAAATTCTGCTAACGTCTTGTCGCTGACGCCGAGATGGTTCTGGATTTCGCTCGTTATCCGCGACACGAGCGAAAAGAGCTCCAGCGACTGGAGGTCGTCCATGGCGGATGGAGGGAATTGTGAGTGTTGTCGGCCCTAGAGAAATGAGGTGGTATAGATGGATGACTGGAGTAATGATTAGAAGATGTCGCGAGAGAGTGCAAAACACTCCTCTGTGTCGCAAAGTGAGGACTGCGTCTTCTCTCCGCGGTTCTGGAACCGGCAAAGCTCACTGGCGCGGAAAATCGTTGTGGCGTTTTCGGGAAATCCGCCACCGATAAGATAAGCAGCTCTAGTTATCTACACTTGCATTGAGCATAACATAGTGTGCAATGCTGTGGATTTATTGCGAATAATATGGTATTCAGAAGTCTATGTCATTGGTCTTACGTCGTACCGTGTATGATGTACTTGGTAGAGAGGACGTCGTGGCGTCTCTGGAGTCGAGTTTTGAGCTATGTACATGATCATCTCAACAAAACAAACTATATTACATGTGTATATGGTATCTATGCAGCGCGCGCTTGGGGCGCTTCTCCAGATTCTTCAGACTGCTCTTGTAGCTGCTCTTCCATCTGCTCTTCGTCAGCAGACAGATCAACAGCGGCGGTCTCATCTTCGGTGCCGTATGAGTCAACATCTGCATCGGCGAGCAGCCGTTTCTGCTCCTGAATCTGCTTCTGCAGCGCAATTTGTCGTCGGAGAGAGGCATCCTTTCTGAGTTTCTTGTTGGCCGAGAATTCAGTCAACGCTCTGACCATCCTCTCCTCCACCAGCTGCTTGACATGGGATGCCAACGT